TTTTATTTATTGTAGAGACAGGATCTTGCTATGTTGCCTAGGTTGGTCTTGAACTCCCAGGTTCAGGCAAGTCCTCTTGCTTTGGTCTCCCAAGTACTGGTATTACAGGTGTGAGACACCATGCCCAGCCAAGGGGGTTGGCTTTTTAAAGAGTGATAGCCCAGGGGAGTGCGGACTTGGGAGTTCAGACATTCCTGGGTTGGAACCCAGACCCTGCTGCTTGTCAGCTACTGTGTGGCCTTGGGCAGGTCCCTTCCCCTCTCTGAACCTTTCCCTTTTTATAATGGGGAGAGTGAAAGCCCCCTGGTAGGGGTAGGAAGATTCCATCATATAAGGCTTGCCAAGCATTTCCACAGTGTCTGGCACACAAAGAGTGCTCGATCAATTAGTATCGTGAAGAGTAGAGGGGAGGAGGGGCACACAACATCAATAAGGGTGCTTGGTCCTAATCCAGGCAAAGTGAGGTCCAATGGGAGGGCCCAAACTTCATCTGTAGATCACTTATGTACCCCATCCTGACTTGTACCCCACATCATTAAAATAAAAAAAAGTTTTTAAAAAAGAGAAAAAAGTAGCAAGAGCTTGGACAGCTTAGATGCCAGTTCCAGTTCTGATACTTATAAGCTGGAGGAACTGTGTTGCGTGGTTGTAGTCCTCTGAGCCTTGAGGTTCCTCATCTGTAAAAATGGGGATCCTTATAGGACCAGAGTGAACACAGCTCAGCCTGACTCCTGGCAGTTAGCACATGATCAATGCATAGTAACTCTAATGAAAACCATGTGGTGGTAGGAATACAAGCATCTAATCTTCATAATGGTATTGTTATTATTGGAAGAAGCCTGGCTTTGGAGGCAGACACCTGGCTCCAATCTGTGTCGTTTGCCAGCTCTGGGCTCTAGAAGCCAGCGAGCCTCCCTGGGCTTCAGTGTCCTTATCTGTGAAACGGGGGTGGCCATAGCATTGACCCCCACATAGCTGCTGTGAAGATTAAATGGGTCCAGAGTCCCCATCATAAAGCCTGGCGTTGGTGGGAATTCAGTGGACGCTAGCAGAGTGGATAAAGGAAGGCCAGCATCTTGCTGCTCTGTGCCCTGAGTTGGCTTCTGGATAAAGAAGTTTCTGGTTAAGTGAGACCCTATGCACACTGCCAGTACCTCCCGCCTGTGCTGTGTGGTCTTTAGCGCAAAGGTCTCCTTCCTCCTACCCTCGCATGTCCTGTACATTACACGAGCATCATTAAGTTTTCCTCTGGGTGACCTAATGGGCTCCCTCTCAGCACCCCCAAACACAGGATGGGAGACTGTCTGGTGTTTCTTCATGGAGCACTGGTGGCATTTGGGACGTGACAGTTCCTCGTTTTAGGGGCAGAAGGACATCCTGTACAGAAGTTGCCCAGCTCTGGCCCCAGCCCCTCAGGGACCAGTGGGGGCCCAACCACTGGGGCAATTGAAAGTGCCCCCACACTTTGCCAGACATTCCCTGGGTAGTGGGCATGAGAGTCACCTTCTAGCCTAACCCCCAATCCCCATTTATATGTAGGGAAACTGAGGCCTAGAGGGACCACAGAGCAGTCCAACAGCATCCGGACACTACCACCGCCACCGCCTCTCACCAGGCTGGAGCAGAGACAGGGAAAGCTGAGATGGCAGAGGTGTGTGTGAGTCTGGGGGTGAGTCCTGGAGATTAGCCATTTCACCTCATTCTTGATGTCCTTTTGGTTTGCTTGACTTGCCTCCGCAGTGGACTTCAGGCTGCCAAGTGGCAGAAGTAATTACTAGGGTGCCTTTGATGTTATGATGCAAAATTATCATTCATAAACACCCTCCCCTCATACTTCTGCTCAGAGGAGTAATTCCATATCTTTTTCTCTGCACATAAATATAAATATATATGTGTATGCTAAAAAGCAGCTTTACACTGAAGATAGATCCAGATACCGATGCAGATAGAGCCATATAGTTTGGGTAACTTGTTTTGCTCTTCCTGATGGCTAACATTTTGTTTCTGAGATAAGTGTCCATCAGTTTTTGCTAACGGTGGGGCCTTAGATTTGTCACATGACCTCCCCTTTCCAAGTCCTGTTTCTTTCATCTGTGAGATGAGAGTTTACGACGAACCTCCTTGCATGGTTTTCAAAAAGGTGATGTGAGCTGGTGTTTTTAAAGGGCTCAGCAGAGCAGGTGACATGTAGTAGGGACTCAGCAAACAGCAGCTATTCTTGTGCTTATGGTTTTGAACTACACGGTGTTGATAGTGTCCTTAGCTTTGTTCTTCAGAAAGGGTGTATACAATTTAAAACTTGAGGAATAACTGAACCCAGTTTTAAATGTGTATCGTGAGCCTTTTGATACATTTCACAGGGGGGCTTTTTATTTTTCACCTATCTTTATTTTTCACATAAAAAATATGGAGTGAGTATAGAAACGGTTAGAAAAGAATTTTACAAAAAGTTGGCAATAAAAACGACCTATAATCCTACTAGATGGATCAGAGTTCTCCAGAGAAACAGAACCAGTAGTATAGATGGATAGATGTTTTAGGAGATTTATTTTAAGAAACTGGCTCACATAATAGTGGAAGCTGGTAAGTCTGAAATTTACTGGCAGGCCAGCAGGTGGGGGACTAAAGTGGGAGTTAATGCTGCAGCATTGAGACAGAATTTCACCTGCTCCAGGAAGCCTTTTGCTTTTAAGGCCTTCACCTGATTAGGCGAGGCTAACCCACATTATCAAGAGTAATCTCCTTTACTTAGAGCCAATGAAACATAGATGTGAGTCACATATAAAAATGCCCTCATAGAAACTTCTAGACTAATATTCGACCAAACAACTGGGTGCCATGACCTAGATGAGTTGATGCATGAGATTTATCCACCACACCTACTATGCAGAGATGCCATAGTTATTAACACTTTGGTGTGTGTCTCTTTAGAGGTTGATATTGATAGGTACTTTAAAAAAAAATTGATATTTTATAATATTTGTGGTTTCCTATTCTCAGTTTTTATTTCATGTGGTATCTGCAACACATCTTCATCTGGCTAAAATAACCTTTGACACCACTACATTCACCAGGGACAGAGAGCTCCATAGTGTTGTCATTTCTGACTTTATTTGCCCAACACCTCATTGGTGGATGCCTGGGTTGTTTCTAATCCTTCACTTTTTTTTTTTTTGGAGTCCACTCTGTCACGCAGACTGGAGTGCAGTGGCACGCTCCCGGCCACCGCAGCCTCGACCTGCTGGGCTCACGCAATCCTTCCGCCTCAGCCTTCCAAGTATCCGGAACTACAGGCGCGTGCTATCATGCCCGGCTAAGTTTTGATTTATTGTACAGACGAAGTCTCCCAGGTTGCCCAGGCTAGTCTCAAACCCAAGGGCTCAGGCAATCCACTTGCCTCGGCCTCCCACAGTGCTGGGATTACAGGCTTGAGCCACTGCGCCTAGCCCACTTCTTTTTTAAAAACTGTATTTATTGTTTTAGAGTTGTGGTGCACATGTGAAGATTTGCTACGTAAGTAAGCTATGATGCAGATGAGGTCTGGGCTTTTAGTTGGCCTTTTCTCCCTGATCATGAACCTGATACCCCGTGTGTTGCCACATGTCCCCCTCCCTCCTTCCTCTCTCCCTCCCTTCCTGAGCGGCATCCAGCGTCAGCGGATCCCGCCCTTGTGCTCACATGACAGGTGATCAGGGCCCATTCATGAGTGAGAATGTGTGGTATCCAATTCTTTGTTCCTGCGATCGTTCACTTAGTATGATGGTCTCCGGTTGCATCCATGTTGCTACAAAGGCCGGCATGTTGTTGTTCTTCATGTCTGCTTAACATTCCATTATGTATATGGGCCACATTTTCTTTATCCAGTCCACTTTCAATGGGCTTCCGGGTTGGCTCCATGTTTTTGCTATAAGAATCCCTCACTTGCTAATTTCTAAAAAATGTTTCAGCGAGCATCCTTCTTGATGAACCTTCATGCACATCTGTAGTGGACACTATGAATAACTTCCCAAGTTCCCTCTACTTGGTGACGATGATTCATGTCTTCCCACCTCTCTGAAAAATGGCTGTGGGCCCTGCAGGAGCAAGCAGCCTCTCCTGGGTTGTTAATCCCCACCCTGGGGGGCAGCCCCCCACTAATGGCTGACTGACATTGGAGGCAGGACACACAAGGCCAAGGCCAGCACCTCTTTGCCTGAGGTGGGACCAACTCTGTGGTGCGGTTTGCCTCCAGGGCTCCCTGTGGGCTCAGGCTGGAGTCGAGGCCCAGCTGAGGTCACACCGCTCCTTTCCTGTCTGGTGTCCCTGCTTCCAGTGGATCTGGCCTAAGGCAACATCTCTGGATACTTTCTCAAGCAATGACTTCTACTGCAGATTTGGCAATGACCTCTCATTTTCTACTGTGCAGCTGCTGTATTTCTGGGCTAAGTTTCCTAAAGGGCGTCCCTCCGACCTATCCGTCCCTTGCAGCCTGGAGGTAAGAGTCCTAGGTGGTAGAGACTTCTGAGGCCCAGGCCTTTTCCCCTAAGCCCAGGACAATTTGGGGGGAGGGGCACCCTGATGCTGGTAAGAAAAAACAGGACATCTCGGACCCTTTGCTCCGCTTGGTTCTTCAACACTTGACCCTCTCTGGATGAGATCGTAGAGTAAGTCATTTCCCTGAATGGGGTGTCACCCCCGTCGAGACGGAGGAAGTGAGGCATAGGGGTGCTGACAAAGAGAAGGGCCTAGTAGGGCTCAGGACGGACTTTGTTTCAGTGGCCTGGGTGGTCGACAGAGATGCCAGGGCTGAAGAGAACATTCTTTGATTTATCAAGCTCCTTGGCTGTGAGCAGGCCTGTTCAAGAACAGAAAACATGGCTACTCTTTCTGTCTCTGCTTTGGCGCGCTGTGTGACCTTGGGCAGGACTCTTGCCTTATCTGGGCTTCAATTTATAAGCATTTCCTTTAAAACACGGTTCTCCAAACTAGATCTGACTCCCCCTTTCCCTCTGGCTCCTCAGATGGAAGTGCAGTGTTCCGAGGCTGCTTCCGCAGGCCAGACAACCTCTCCCTGGCCTTGCCTGTGACGGCCGCCATGCTGAACATGTTTGTGGACAAGTGCGTGGATCTCTGCACAGAGAAGGTGAACATGAGGTCGGGCTCACAACGTGAGGGGAGGGGCGACGCAGAACAACTGAGGGAGCAGGGACGGGGTGCTTGGCTGAAGCAGTGGCTCAGTCAGGACGGAGGAAGTTGCTGATGGTGGTCTGTGGCATGGGAGAGGGATATGGCCATTTCCTGTGGATCCAGGAGGTAGGAGCTGCCCGGGTCTGATTTTTCCCTGTGAAGAAGTGTGTTCTAATAGAGAAGAATGCTTGGGAATGAGTGTGGCATTTGATCCGGGCCTAGAAGCATGAGAAGGATGTCAGGTAAGAGTGAGTTCCCCATCCCTGGAGGCGTGCAAGCAGAGGCCAGACATTGGGCACTGGACAGCAGTTGGATTGGATAATGCAGGGATCCTCTTCTCACCCTGAGGTCCTAGGTGGCCGGATAGGTACCCTTCCTCCCTAGCCAAGGAACTCCTCGAGGGTAAGAGCTATGCCTCATACATTTTGTACCCTCTTCAATACCCGGTGCAGAGCTGGACACACAACTGGCACTTGGCGCCATCCAGGGAGCTCCAGCTTTCCCTCAAATGGAGCTCATTACTTGCATGTCCAGAGGAGTGCCATCCCTCTCCTACCACAGAAAGGAGGCTGGGCTTTTCATTCATCCACTCTGCAAATATTTAATGAGCACCTACAATGTGTCAGGACCCTAGCTTAGTGCCTCAGATGCAAAGTAACAAGATATGGCCTCCATCCTCAAGGCTGCAGGCATGTGCTGGGGGCTTGCCTACAGCTCCTGCTGGGTGCCCAGGCCTCACTCCAGGTCCTAGGTGCCACCCTCTGCCTTGATTCGCCCTCTGTGGTAGTTTCTGTCACTGGGTTCCTGCTCCAAGAAGCATCTCTCAGGAAGACCAAGAGGCTGCAGCATCATGGTGGTGGCTGCTTGTTGGAAGTATTCTCCGTGCAGCCCTCTTGCCATGGGCCACACTTCTCATGACAAGCCTGAGTTTGAAATTTTCATCTCCAGTTCACAGATGAGAAAACCAAGACTCAGATGTGTGAAGTCACTTGCCCAAGTTCACAGCAGAAGGAAGTGGCAGAGCCTGGGGCTGACCCTGGGGACTGACCCCAATTCCAGGCTTTGAACTCCTGAACAGCCCTAAAGACCCCACAGAGAGGTTTCCAAGAGCCATCCAAGAGTGGGCAGCCTACCTTAAGGCTCCACACATTTCCTGAGGGCTTGTTGAGCTCCTAGGAGGCATCCTGGAAAATCAGGGGTGGGCTATAAAGCTTGTGAGATTAAAGAAGTTGTGACCATCATCTGGTCCAGCCCTCTGCCCTGGTCAGGAATCTCCCTCCCCCCAGCCACATGGCACCTCCCAAGCTGGACATTCCTCACTGCCTTAGGGCCCTGGGGGAGCCCCACCCCCTAGAAGTGTGGGGACAAGCATGCAGGAGGTCACAGAGCAAACCAGTGTAATGAAGTGCCAGACTGTACGCAGGACTGGAGATAAGTGAAGTGTGTATGAGTGGACAGGGAGGCCCCTCGGTAAACCTCCCTCTCCCTGTTTTCTCTGAAAGGGGCCACAGGAAAGAAACTGAGGGGTTGAGTGGACATGGATGTAGAGCTGCTTGGCGGTGGGCTTGGATTTAGGGTGTCGGAGGGGGTGCCAATATGGGCTACTAGTTGGGAAGCATCATCTGTCCCAGCCCAAGCTGCCCCACCATCAGCACCTCTCCCTGTTCTTCAGTGAGATACTGTGGCTGGTACTTAAGATTGAAAGGGAACTGGATGAAGAAAATGTGAACACACATGATGGGATATTGTGCGGCCATAAAGAAGAACAAAATCATGGCCTTTGCAGCCAGCAACATGGGTGCAGCTGGAGACCATCATACTAAGTGAACGATCACAGAAGCTGAGAATGGACTACTGTGTGTTTGCCCTCATAAGTGAGCCCTGATCACTGGTCACATGAGCAGAAGAGTGGGATCAGCAGATGCTGGACACCGCTAAAAGAGGGAGGGAAGAAGGGGGGGGACACATGGCAACACACAAGTACCAGGTCCACTATCACGGAGAGAGAGCCTGCTAGAAGCCCAAACTTCACCTGCTTTCAGCCTACTTATGTAGTAAATCCTTGCTTGTGCCCCATAAGTCTAAAATAAAGTAATAATTTTTAAAAATTTGCTAGGAAGAAACCAAACCTACCATGACACAGCTCACCAGATCCAGTCACATAGGTGTGACCGTGGTTTGTTACCAGGTGATTCCTGGACTAGCTACCAGCTAGAACTCAAGGCTGTAGGTCTGGTTTAGAAGCAAATTGGGCAAAGGACAGTCCCCTGCCTACCAAGTCTCAAGTCCGTCCTGCTCCCACTTTGCTGTTCCGTAGAACAAATGAAGCAATCAGTAGCAGCTCTCCCAGTGGACTCTGGACACCTGCAGGTTTCAGTGTCTTCTTTGGCTTAAAAGAACAGATGCAGACAGCTTTTCCCGAAGCATGGGCTCCATGTCACCATTAGACCCAGAGGCATTTACCACAGCACGTTGCATGCCGGTGAGAAGGAGATTTCTTTTTCAGTTCTCTTTCAAGTCCTCAGGAGAAGGCTTTATCTCAGTACTATGGTGTCAACAGCTTTCTACTGTCAATGACTCTCTTTTGCAGGAAAAATGAGCCAACCCCTGGCTCAGAGTTTCCACAGTCGAGAGTACCTAGGTAGAATTTAATTACACTGTTCTGTGTCCATAGTATTTACGTTGACAGTATGGAAATGTATGGAGGTGTCCTTGTCCACAGGTGTGGCCTGTGGTGACACTATCAAATTTCCTTTGAAATTTCAGTTTCAAAAAGTGAGTTGAGCTGGGCTCAGTGACTCAACCTGTAATCCCGTGCCTTGGGAGGCTGAGGTGAGTGGATTGCCTGAGCCCGCAGATTCAAGACCCGCCTGGGCAACTTGGTGAGACCTCATCTCTACAATAAATAAAAAAATTAGCCAGGTGTTTTAGTGCACGCCAGTAGTTCCAGCTACTTGGAAGTCTGAGGCGGAAGGATCGCCGGAGCCCAGCAGGTCGAGGCTGCAGTGGCCAGGAGCGGCCACTGCACTCCAGTCTGGGTGACAGAGTGAGACTCCAAAAAAAAAAAGTGAGTTGACTTAAAGTATACAAATATGAGGGAGGACCCCCCAAAAACCCGAAATTCATTTATTAAAAAGTGAGCATTTGTTCTTGCATGTTTAAACTTCAAAGTATTCTCTATTGAGATGCTTTTCACACTGCTCAGAAGTTTTTGAACTTGTCAGTATTGATGCCTTGTAGCGTTTCTGCCATTTGTTTGTCTCACCGCTTCCACATCAGCAAAACGTTTCCCTTTGAGGACTTTTTTCATCTGGGGAAACTTGGGGTGAGATTGGGGAATAGGAAGGGTGGGGCATGGGGGTCATGACATTTGGGGTCCAAAGCTGCTGAACACTCAGTGTCGTGTGGGCATGTGTGCTCTCATGGGAGAAGGACCAGCCTCTTGTTTGCCACAACTCGGAATGTTTCTTCCACAACACAACCTCTCACAACAAGCTAGCTGTTACACTGATGCCAGTGGGTTCCTAGAACACTTACCTAGCGGGGGAAGCCTGGACTACAAGGGGTCTACCCTCTGAAAGAACCTCTGGGTTTTTTTGGGGTTCTCTCATAAATAATAGAATGCAAGGTGCACAGATTCACAGATGAAACTGGGGGACCCTCCAGTTGAAGGAGAGTGACGGAGAAGGGGATGGCTGGAATGCAAATCCTGTTCCCTGTTCAGAGCCCAGGCCTTGCAGCGACTCAGCGACTCTCTTCCTCTTCCTCTCCCACTCCATCCCAGGAGTACCCGCTGGCGGCTCTCGCGGGCACCGCCTGCCACTGTGGGTTTCCCACCACCCGGTTCCCCCTCCATGACAGAGAGGACGAGCAGCTCTGTGCCCAGAAGTGCAGCGCGGAGGAGTTTGAGAGCTGTGGGACTCCTAGTTACTTCATTGTGTACCAGACACAGGTCCAAGGTAAGCCAGGCCTCCCACTGGGTGGATCCCATGTGCTCTCCTGGGTGTGTCCCAGCCAGTCCACTCCAAACAGCCCACAGCAAGAAGGAAACAGGGCAGGCCAGCGGGAAGAGGGTGGGACTAATGAACTCAGCCCGGCTTAGAGTTCTGGATGGGCAACAGGGGAAGTACCCTACAGGAAACAGGGTTCTGATGACCCCATCTCTATCCCCCATCAGTGAGGACCCCCGGTGGCTCTTTTCCTGTAGTAGAGGTAGTGACCTTGAATGGGAAGAGAGACTTGGGTCTCCCACTGGCTCCAACACGGGCCCACTGTGTGATCCTGGACAAGTCATTTCCTGTATCTGGGCCTCAGTTTCTCTGTGTGTAAAATGAAGCTGTAGATAGTTAACTTCCAAGTTCCCTTGCAATTCTAGGATTTTGCAAATGTATCTGTAAGTTCTTCTCTCTTTTCTGTATCTCTCTCTCTCTTCCTGTTTATCTCCTCTTCTGCGTCTTGGGGCTGGCTGCCAGATAGCGTGATGATGATCACAATAGTGATGGTGATGATAATGTTGATGATGATGGTGATGATGGTGTTGATCTTGGTGATGATGATAGTGGTGATGAAGATGAGGATGGTAGTGATGGTGGTGATCATGATGGTGGTGATAGTGATGGTGATCATGAGGATGGTGATGGTGATGCTGGTGATGAGGGTGATGCTGGTGATGGTGATAATGACGATGGTGATGATAATGATGGTGATGGTGACGGTGATGACTGATGTGATGATGAGGCAGCAGCACTTGGCGTTTCTCAAGGTCTCACTCTGTGCTACTCTCAGTGTCGAGTCCTTCATATGCATTTTTCACTGCATCCCTTCAGCCCTGCTATGAGTTGGTAACAGTCATTAGGCCCACTTTGCGGGGAGGGAAACTAAGACTCAGAATGGTGGAAGGACTTACCTAAAGTCACGCTTTATTTTTATAAAATTTCTCAAGAAAAACCTTTCTCCTGACTGAGGCATCATGTAGAATGGGTGGCCCCTAGGTGGGGTTGAAGGGCATCCCTCGCTGGGACACTGAGCCCAAAGTAAGCCCCTGAAGGATGACCCCAGTATCTGAGTATACTGGCCATCCACTGTGCACCAGTCCTCTCATTTAATGATGTAAAGTCCACAGAAAGCCTATGATCAGGGCAGCATTATCCCCATTTTGCAGATGAGAGAGCCAAGACTCAGAGAGGTTGAAAGCCAGCCACAGTGACACATCTGTGAAAGCAATTTGCTTTCAGGTGTCTGACTCCAAAGCCCCTGCTGGACACCTTTGCTCACAGTGCGAAGGACACTCCCACAGCCTGGAGAGCCAAGAAAACTCCTTTGGACTAGACCTTCTCCTCCTCATTTCCCTATAGCCGGGCCACCATGTGTGGTTGGGCTGGTTGGGCACTTTCCTGGCTTTTCCCAAAAGCCAGCCTGCACACTGTGCACTCTGGATGGCAGCATATCTGCCCAGAGGAAGAGATAGGCACCTTTTACTGACTTGCACAAAGATACTACAAGAGCTAGTGGCAACCCTACCAATAGCCTATTGCCTTTTTGGTCTGATGGAACACCAGTAGTGACCAACTGTGGCTGCTTCTGTGGCAGCCAAAGTCCTGCTGAGAGCTTAGTGAGCAAGTGTGGCCCTTGGCTCTGTTTGCACTCCATGGAGGAAGGGTGCATATGTGTTCATTTTGGGGAAGTGTTGGCTGGTCTGTGCAAAGCCGTGTTGCCTCAGTCTGGAGGGGAGTCATGCATAGATTAATTATACTGTGACCACGCACAGCTCTGATGTGGTCAGACAGACGCTGGAGCCTTTGCAACAGTAGATAACACACCCCTAATTGATGAGTTTGCTCATTCCCAGTGCCCTACCCACAGGCCATTGCTATTCTTCAATTTTTCCATGTCACCCTCATAGTTCCTACACACTCCGAGGGCTTAAAAGTCATAGGCTCATCAGACTGCCAAGAGCCTGATCCACCAGGGCTGCCATTTACTAAGCACCTACTGTGTGCTAAGCTCTCATGTTCCTGGTGAGAACTAAATAATCACTGAACACTTACTGTGTGCCAGGTACCGACTAAGCCCTTTACCTGGTTTAATTCATCTAATCCTCCCAATATAATGAGATGACAATGCTGTTATTACCATTATACAAATGAGGTAACTTGGCAAAAAGAGATTGAGTAACTTGACCAGAGTCACACAGCTTGGACAGGGCAGAGTTGGGATTCAAACCCAGCTCAGCTGGGTCCTGAGACTATACTCTTAACCACAGCTTCTCAACAGATATTGCAAATAATTCACACTCATGATCCTGCTTAATCCCCATCAGCCCTGTTTTATAAGTGAGGAAACTGAGGCTCAGTGTGGTGAGGAGCCTTGTTCAGTGCCACACAGGTAGGCCATGACAGCCCAGGATGGGAGCCCAGGTCCGCCTAATTCCAAAGCTGTGTACAACACTGCCTCCAGCATCTGCTTTGATTGACAGGTCTTAGGAACCAAGTAACTTTCTTTTCAGCACTGAAAACAGCAGCCTTTACCTCAGGATTGGTCTTGGCTTCCCAGGAAGTATTTGAATAAAGAATTCTGTTTTCAGGGGAAATTTAAGAGTCAGCCCCCACACCCCCAATCCCCCCCAGCCCAACATTTTATTATGAAATAAAAAGCCAAACCTCCAGAAAAGTTGAAAGAATGCACAGTGAACACCCACACACTCATTCCCTAGATTTTGCGTGTATTAGCTTTTTGCTATATTTGCCCTGTTTACCTCCATCCTTCTCATATTTTGATGCATTTCAAAATAAGTTGCAAACCTCATTATACTTCAGTGTGTCTGTCACTCATTATAATTCAATGTCTGCGTGTGATTTTTTTGCAGTAACATTTCCATAGGGTGCGATGTACAAATGTCAAGTATACTAGTTCATGACACCAGGATCATCCACTCTCCTGTCAAAATATAAAACATAACTGTACTCTAGGCATGGTGCAGTGGATCATGCCTATAGTCCCAGAACTTTGGGAGGCCAAGGCTGGAGGATCACTTGAGCCCAGGAGTTCGAGACCTATCTGGGCAACATAGCAAGACCTCATTTCTACCCAAAAAAAAAAAAAGACAGAAAAGTTAGCCAGACATGGTGGTGCATGCCTGTGTAGTCCCAGCTCCTCAGGAACCTGAGGAAGAAGGATCACCTGAGCCCAGGAGGTGAAGGCTGTGGTGAGCGTGATCATGCTACTGCACTCCAGCCTAGGCGACAGGGTGAGACCCCAACTAAAAAAATAAATTCATACGTATATACGTAACCATACTCTAGAAGTTTCTCGTGTCTGGGCTTTTTTTGCAGCACGTTCCCATGAAAACCGTTCCCATACGCTCACTTGGCTTTGACTCAGACTTTCTTTGGTTTTTTGCCTCTGAAATCTGTTCTCCTCAGAACAAGCAAATTAAACATGGCAGGAGAGAGCTACGCCTCTGGCTAGTAGCAACAATACTAAGAGCTGCGGTCTATTGGCACTGTGGCACTTCTACGTGTGCTTCTTAGGCTAACACTCTGCATTCATTCTGAAGTTTAACCCTCCTCACAATCTCAGGCCATCATGCCGTTTATAGGTGAGACAGGTAGAGCATTTTTTTCTGAGACCATTCAGCAGACCAGTGGCAGAACTGGAATTTAAATCTAGGACTTCAAACTTCTTCAAAGGACTGTTGTGAGAAATCACTGAGGATCTCATAGGAGGACCCAGGGAAGACTCTGGAAGGCATGGTGTGCAGGCAGGTGGAGTGAACTGCCTGCACGTGGCCAAGGAGGTGAGCCCAGCTGCTGGGTTGAGCTTGGGTGGTTAGCAAGAACTGGAGGAAGCAGGGAGGGTGCCATGGGTCAGGCTTGAGGGACCAGTGGAAGGGAGGGAGTTGAAGTGTGGCTGTGACAGCTCGCTGGAGGGGACTCTTTCTAGGTGACAGAGCTATTTGTTCTTGTGTGATGGCTCATGTGACTGAGCCAGCTGTGGGAGAGGAGGTGGGGGAGGTGGAGGAGGAGGGAGGAGGAGCGTGGGGAGGAGGGAGGAAGTGGGGCCCAGTCATGGGCGGGGCACTGGCGGCTTCCAGAAGTGACCGGGATGGAGGTGGGGGCAGGATTCAGGGTAGGTGAGGGAGTTTTGCTCACCTTCTCTGATGGTAGACAAGGACGGAGGTCATAGCCAGGGTGAGGAAGGCGGGACCGAGAACTGGGGCTCCAGGCCTGGATCTGAGCTCGTCTCCTCTTCCTTTCCACTCGAGAGTCCCCTACATCGGACCTTCCTGATGGGACCCCAAGAAATTGCTGTGCTTTTTTTTTTGAGTTGGATTCTCACTCCGTGGCCCAGGCTGGAGTGCAGTGGCATGCTTATGGCCACCCCAGCGTCGATCCACTGGGCTCAGCATCGATCCTTCTGCCTCAGCCTTCCAAGTAGCCAGAACTACAGGCACACACTACCACACCCGGCTAGTTTTTTGATTTATTGTAGAGATGAGATCTCGCCAAGTTGCCCTGGCTGGTCTCGAACCCGTGAGCTCAGGCAATCCCCTCACCTTGGCCTCCCAAAATGCTGGGATGACAGGTTTGCATCACCATGCCCAGCACACAGTGCTTTTCTTAACTCCAGTAGGGCTTCAGCAGACCTGGGTTTTCCCTGAACTCTAACACTGGTAGCATTCTGGGGTCTTTGAGAAACCAGAGAATCAGGAATAAAAAAAATGGTACTCGCCACCCCCCAACCCATTTGACAGATGAGGAAATTGAGGGCTAGAGAAAAATGATATCTACCCCTCTCTGAGCACTTCAGAGAATTAACGTATTAATATGCATTATTTCATTTGCCTTAGAAGAGCCCTGCAGAGTAGACATTATTGTCATCCAACCACCCACCCACCAATCCATCCATCCATCCAGGAAGCATTTATTAAGCACCTGCTCTATGCCAGACATTATGGAAAATACTGGGGAGTCAGCAAAGTGCAATATGGGCAGGGTTTCTGGCCAAGCAATTAATTGTACAAATAATTACTTTAATCACAATTGTGATGTGTGATATGAATGAGAAAAACACAGCAGTACATCAGTGATGGGGGAGGGAGGAAGAGAAGGAAGGAAGAAGGAAAAGAACAAAAAGGGAGGGGAAGGGAGAGTGGGAAGAAAGGAAGGACCCATTCTGCTGAAAAATAAGAAGCAAAGGCAGGCAGCAGGCTCTGGTGCGGGACAGATGCGTGAGATGCTAAGTCTGGAAGGAGCAGAGCACGGAAGAGGCAGCCAAGGGCCAAATGGCTGGCAGGTGGTGAGGATGTCCGATGAGCCTGTGGTACACGGGTGCCAGCCACCCAGGCTTGGAGGCCGAGAGAGGCACCTTGGACTTGCGGATGGATGCCACTAAGGGTTTTCATCTGGAGGAAAGGGTGGGGGTGAATGGGAAAGACTTACTCCACTGAGGGGGAGCTGAGGCTGGGGAGGAAGTCATTCTCCTTACTGACTTGTGTTGAATCCCGGCTGTGTGCTAAGCACTGTGTGCATCCCTGTTTATGCGTGATCTCATGGGACCCCACCTCAACCCTGGGAAGGAGGAGTCCAAGCCCCCTTTTCACGGATGGAGAGGCAGAGGCCCATGGAAAATCTTATGTGACACACTCAAGCATGGTGTGCTCCGAATCGCCCGGCTGAGAAATGGCAGGGATGGTAGTCACACACCTTCTAGACGGGTGCTATCTGCCCACACCTGCCACTGACTTCTGTCTGTGCCCCACCCTTTCCAGACAACCGCTGCATGGACAGACGATTCCTTCCAGGCAAGTCCAAGCAGCTCATCGCTCTGGCCAGCTTCCCGGGTGCCGGCAACACGTGGGCCCGCCACCTCATCGAGCTGGCTACCGGCTTCTACACTGGCAGCTACTACTTTGACGGCTCACTCTACAACAAAGGTGGGGAGGGGATGAGGCAGAACAGAGCAGGAGGCTTCCTGGGAGGGCTTTTCCTGAGCACCTACTATGTGCCACTCAGCTTGCTGGGCACATCTATCATGACCTACAGTGTGCTTGGTGCTTTCACTTCCTTTATACCCCCAAAACACTTCTGGAGTCGTGTCCTGGGACTGACAATTATCAAACACCTATCATACGCCTGGTGTCTTTCCTCCATATAGGTCACCACAGACATTCCTTAAGCACCATAGATAGGATTTACTGACCAGGAACTCGATGCTGTTATAGATGTACAATAACTACATTCACTTTGGGGACATTCATCAGGTACCTCCTCTTCACCAGGTGTCTTATCTACACTGAAATTAACAATATTTATTGTGCAGGGTGCCTTGTTGTCATTCCATCTGCAAATGTTTACTGAGCACCACAATGTTCTGGATGTGCTGCCTAAGTCTGGTTTCCCAACATGCATTTATGGAGCGCCAACTGTGTGCCAGGCACCTCACATAGGTTCAGATCGCCATAGATGTATTTTTGGCCGCCTGCTGGGCACCAAGAGCCGCGTCAGGTGCTACATTCTTTCTTAATCCTGCACAGAAACCCTGGAAAGTAGGAGGGTGATGCTTTTTCCCATATATGAAAACTAGAGCTTGGAGAGGAGAAATAACTTGTCCAAAATCACACTATTTTTTTCAACAGCAGATCGGGGATTATATCCTAGGGTTTTTCCAGTTTCAAAACCCACATCTGTCTTACTGCATGCCACAGGCAAGACATTTCTAGGTTTTCTACCGTGGAACTAGAAATCACGGCTGGAATGCCCCTTGGGCAGGAAGCCCTCGCCTAGGCATGGTGGGAAGTAGGGACTCTGCCTCTGAGGGATTTTGTCTGTGTGTGTGGCGTGAAGCAGCCCTTGGCCGTGGTCTCTGTGTCTGCAAACCAGCTGAGGAGCTTTTCCTGGCTGTGTGACCCGTGGCAAGTTACTGTACGTCTCTGATCCTGGGTCATCATGAACAAATCAGAGCTGACAGTATGTACCTCATTAGGTTGTTGTAGAGGTTAATAAGCCGATGCACATCATGCTCAGCACAGGGTAAATGTTCAATAAAAGTGTGCTGTGAGTACTACGGTCTGGGTGTCAGGCACTGGCCAAGGCACAGCTGGGTGCAGACCAGTCATCTCTGAACCTGAGCTCAGGGAGGGCCAGGTGGCTTGTCTTGCTCAGGCAAGAAACAGGAGGGGGGAGGCACAAGGAGAAGAGGCTATAAGAGGTTGAAGGTTGGAGTTGGCAGGATATATTCTACCTTTTGTGTTCGTTAATGTTTGTGTTCATTTGAGCAATGGTTTGTTAAGGACCTATTAAGTTCAAGGCTCCATACTGAAGGTTGTGTAAGCTTCCATCAGGATTTGAACCAGGCCCGGCTGTCAACAGTACCTACAAACTTAAGCCCCTACACTGTGCTGCCTCCATGGGAGTTGCTGGGAGGAGCTTCAGGACATGGCAGAATCTCTGTGACTTGTCCGAGAACACCAGCTGGGGGATGTGAACCCAGAAGGCATGCCATGGGGCCCACATTGTAACCCTCCTGGCTGGGGCAGCAACTCTACTCATGCAAACCCCAGAGTGTCACAAACAGAAAGGTCCTTCGGGATCGTGTAGCTCAGGGACCCGAAATGGTTTCATCTCGTGTCAATTCTGGTGACTCTCTACTTTAAGAGGATGTGTAAAGAAGGATTCTGGGGTTCTGTTCTCTCTCACAAAGTACCTACCTCTAGTAGTGATGCCTGTTGAAAGTGGAGAATGGGGAACAGTGGTCCATATGACGAGTATTTGCCATTTCTGATCTAACCCAACCTCCCAGCTTAGAGAAGAAGACATTGAACCTCAAGATATGAGTCAGGAGATCTCTCAGTTTGAAAGCTTGCTTTGATACCTTTTTTTATTTTTTTTGAGTCGGGGTCTCACTCTGTCACCCAGGTTGGAGTGCAGTGGCAAAATTATGGCTCACCATGGCCTTGACCTCCCAGGCACTGGCAATCCTTCTGCCTCAGTCTCCTTAGTAGCTGAGATTACAGCACATGCCACTACGCGTGGCTTTTTTTTTTTTTTGAAGAGTCAAGGTCTGGCTATGTTGCCCAGGCTGGTCTCCAATTCCTGGGCTCAAGCGATCCTCCTGCCTTGGCCTCCCAAAGTGCTGGGATTATAGGCGTGAGCTGCCACACCCAGCCTCTAAAGTTCTCTCTGATGCTTTTCCACTGTGAGATCTTGGGCAAGATTCTTTGCCTCTCTGACTTTAATTTCCTCATCTATAATATGGGGATGTTGGCACTGAACTCAGAGATTTTTCCCAAAATCTAATAAGAAAGCATTCTTGAGATAGATCATGCGTGAGCCTGGGGTATAAAACAGACATTATTTTATAAATGACACATAACCAGGACAGTCAGCTACTTAGTCAAAGGCAAATGGGGTTGCTCTTTGACTACACAGGAAGGCTGCCCAGGGAGCTTGAGAGTCTTGACACCTGGGCTGGACTTCTGACCATTACCACTGACTCCCAAGAGTGGGCCCAGGCCTCCGTTTGTCTAAAGAGCTCCCAGGAAATTCCATTGCAGAGCCCTGGACTGAGAACCCACTATTCTGACTTCCAGACCCATAATATTGTAAAAATTCATCTTAGCCCTGTTTTTTTTTTATACTCTAGTGCTGGGGAATATTAATTGATCATTAGTGGAGTGAGATGGCTACTAAATTTTTAACTTGATTCTGAAGAAAAAAAGGAAAACGTAAACCCTCCGTGGCGGTTCCCCTGCCCCAAGCTGTGTCTGGTTGTTGGAAGCTTCCTGAAGTCACACCAAGGAAGGTTGGGGTCTGTGGGCTTGTCTCGGGCTGCTATGACTTTGAGTGCAGCTGCTTTTCATTAGGTACTTCAAAATCCTTTCATTAGGTACTTCAAAAGTCCTCCAGCTTTTCCTGGACGGGTGCAGACCAAGAGAAGACCTTGCCCCTCAGCAGCACAGTCAGTCGGGCTAACTCCATCCCTTCCCATGTCACTTTGCAGCCACAAGATGGCTGACGATGAAATCCTTGTACTCCTGGCAGAAAAGTTCCGAAGGGAGGAGTAACCACTCTGCCCCATTGCCCCCACCAGGTGGAGGTTCAGCCACCCCTTTCAGTCATTGGGTGACTTTGGGAGGCCAAGGCAGGAGGATCACCTGAGCCTAGGAGTTGGAGACCAGCCTGGGCAACATAGCCAGACCTTGTCTCTTCCAAAAAAAATAAAAGCCAGGCATGGTGGCATGTGCCTGTAGCCTCAGCTACTCAGGAGGCTTGAGTACCATCAAGAAAAAGGTGGAAGAAGCTCTTCATAGTTCTGGAACGTACCTGAGATTTGCTTATGGTGCTATCCCTGGGGCAGGGTCCCCATCACCCCGCTCTTATCCCCTTGTTCTTCTGCCCAGAAGCCATCTCCTGGAGCTGCAGTCCAAACCCATTTCTGCAGCTTCCCTGAGGCGTATGTGTCCTCCTTTGTCTTCTTTGAACCCTGGACATTCCTTCATCATAGCCTAATTATTATGAAGATATTCATGTCATTTTTTTTTTTTTTGTCGGGGTCTCACTGTATTGTCCAGGCTGGAGTGCAGTGGTACAATCATGACTCACTGCAGCCTCGGCCTCCTGGGTTCAAGCCATCATTCCGCCTCAGCCTCCTGAGTAGCTGGGGCTACAAGCATGAGCCACCACGCCCAGCTTGTTTTTTGATTTGTTTGTAGAGACGAGGTTTGACTATATTGCCCAGGCTGGTCTCAAACCCCTAGGCTCAAGTGATCCTTCACCTCAGCCTTCCAAAGTGCTAGGATTACAGTTATGAGCTGCCACACCTAGCCTGCATCACTGTTAATAGTTCTGGTCATCATAGGCACTTCCTGAAAATCTACAATGGGTCCACACACCGTGATGGGCACTTTACATTTTTTCTAGCTGAGTCTGAGGGGGTGGGTGTGCACAGAAGGTGGATAGGACTTATCAAAAGGTGAGGGAGGAGTGGGTCCCAGGCAGAGGCCATGACATGTGCAGAGAGTCACAGAGGAGAGTGGCAGGTATGACGGGTGAGTGTAAAAAA